CTGGTATGATACGAAATTGCAATCCTTGGTTTATCATAAGGTCCTAAGTTCGAATTCCACTTTCATCACTTATCCTTTGCAAAAAAAAAAATGTTCCATTCACGGAACATATTTGATTTATTTGATTATCTCACTTGCCACCCATAATGACTTGAGTTGGAGTTACTGTACCAGTAAACAAGAAATAAAAAAAGTCGAATTGATATGAATTGACTGGATTCATTTTGTGTTGTTAGTGATGTAGCGTTTAGCTGAGGAAAAGATCATTTGGTCTGTACATGTTTATGATGATACAGAAATCAATCTTAAAAAGCAATGGTTCATTAAATGTGGATGTTTTGTTTAATGATCCTGCGGGTATCAGGGTGCAACAACCTACATAGCTATTGTGAATGAAACAATAGAAAAGATTATAAACTCATCATACATTAGATCCCAATTTTCCACTTTAAAGTGCCTTGCAAATATGTAAGGACAACATACTAATTTTCTAGCTTATCCTTTGGGTACTTTGACATCACCAGTACTAGCATGCTATAGTGTCCAAGATGTGGTTACCATCTATCCGATGAAAGGAGTAGAGGACAAGGTAGTCATATGTTGAGAGTCATCTCAATGTAATTTCTTATCAGAATTTGATACAACGAAAGAGAACTATGAGTTTTGTGTTGTGTGGACTGAGATTTAAGAGACTGATGATGGTGAATCATGAGTGCAGCTTTACAAAAGAAAGAAATAAAAGAAGTGGAGAAGTGGATTATATATGCTGGTAAGAGAGGAGATATGCTAGTAACAAGACAGCCATTGTAACTACGAGTACAGTAGTTGCAAGTTACTAAGCTAGGGACTGCTGTAGCATTTGCTATGCCATGTTTGTTAATAGGAAGGAACAAAATGATTTAATTATTAATGTTACTTGTAAGTTAATAATGGAGGGAGATCATAATCTCAATTGTTTGATTGAGTCCCAAATTACTTGGTAAGTTTAGAAAGTTGCTAGAGAGAGTAATCAAAATAAATTTCGCCACAAAGTCGTAGGATTCAGTACTGATGATGTTTCTTTCTTCAGATCTAATGCAAAATAGAAATATATCCTAATGGTTATATTTAGTGGTTTTACTTTTGAGGTTTCTTAAATGCAAAAACACTAACCTAGTGGGATAAGTAATGCTAGATGGATGAGAACTAAAATTTCAATTGCTTGATCAATTAATACAAGAAGAGTGAGATTTGGTACAATGGTAAAACTTTCTATTTATAAGGGCAAGGTCAAGTATGCCAATACTTGTTAGGTCTTACATTGGTAGAAACCTTGTGCATTGGATTAGTTGATGGGTATATCTAATCTTATGGATACATCTAATCTTATGGTTACAAATATGGTACTCCTATAAAATGATTATTATCTTGGATCATTAGGCATATTGGAAATAATTTACAAAAATATTTTATCCAAATTCATCCAATATACGAAACAGTGAAACACTTTTTGCCAGGTAAGGTCGATTAATGATTTTTTTAATGGGTTAGGAAATAAGAAGGGATTAAGCTGTGGGGAGAGAGATGGCTAGAGAAAAATCAGCATCAAATAAGAGTTCTGATACCTTTTTAGCAGTAAATGGTAAAAATTGCCATATGGAATCAGTTTGGAGAATTATTAGAAGTCGACAGACTACAATCTGTTTTCCTTCATCACAAACAATTCAGAGAAATATAGGCTCGGACATAATTAGGTGGAGATGACCGTCAAAGAAACTACTGTTTTGTGGTGTAAAGAAAGGAAAAATAATAAACAATAGTATGTATAGGATAAAAATAAGATGGTAATATACAACCAGGTGATGAAAAAAAAAGTTAAAAAGGGATTATGCTTGATGGGATGAAGGTTGGTAATGTGCAAATCAACTAGATTTGGTTTAGAATAATGTGCACAAGTCATTTGATGTGACTGAAGAGATGACTCAAGTGTCCATTGGATGATCGATCTATACGAAAGTTATAGTCAGATGGAATATCAAACGAGGTCCCTCTAACACTTAAGTTAATCTTGAAACGAAAAGTTGAGTCACGAGTCAACTGTAACTTATATTAAATTGGTAAGCTTTTGTGGTGAACTTAGCCTAAGAAATATTCCATCGAGTCAAATATTCCTCATTGAATTCTATATTGTGACTTAGCTCAAGTGCTGCATTGCTGGCTAGGGTCCACTTCCCCTTTTGACTGTGTCACCGTATGTCGAGTTGTGATTGAGGGTAAGTATCTCCTTATCACTATGGAACGTACCAAAAGAGACTAGATAATGCAACTGACTGAACAATATTCATTCATCAATAATAGATAAAAGCTGCAATAATTCTATGGACCTCTATTATTAGATTTCATGGACGAAAATCCTAACTAAAATTTTGGAAAAGGTAAAATATGGAATTTTTTTCTGATGAATGTAATGTAAAGAGATTTCTAAAACACTCTAAAAATAAATTCTTAATTCTTTGATAACTTTCCCAAACTATTTTATATTTGAAGTTTTGCAATAAGACAACATCCAAATAAGATTCTGGCAACATCATAAAACACTATTAAAAAAATTAGTGACACAAGATATTCAATATTGTAGTGAAGTAGTGAATCTAATCATGATTTGAGATGATGTAACCTCAGCAACAAATTCTCCTAACCTAGACATAATATGAACATATCTTTAGTCAGTTGTACATGGTACTATGATTAGAGCATTTTGCTAGACTTGGCCCAGTTTTTACCATATCAGTTCAGTTAACTTTGATAACTGTCAAAATTCAATTGCATCAAATATTTTGTTGTTTGTCTATTATCACTTAGACATTTAGATTCACGTTTGACTCGAGGCCAACTCTCAAGAAAATTTTCCTAAAAATGTTTAATACTAAAAGAATAATCAATCATTAAAGCTGCACATACAAATCAACTTTTGACCCTAAAAAGCAGTAATTCGCTCCCAGACAATCAGACAAAGCATATATAGGAAGAGCTGCTGAATGAACACAATATCACTATATCCAAAATCTATGCAAAAAAAAATGTCTTGCCTTGCAGCATCAATCTCACTGTCATGGTATGCTATCATCATGAATTATGTTTCATGAAGCTTTGAGCTGGTTGATATGTCAATATGTTGATCATGTTCAGCTGATTGGTTGGCAATGATGTAAGAGCCCTGTGAATTGCTTATACCTGGTTCTCTTCTTTGCCTACTGTCATGCATAGCGTTGGTGCCCTGAAACTTCAGGAGCATACTGTAACAATTTTTTTTTTAATAGAATCTATTGCGGTGGCACTATAACTTAGATCTACTCATTAGTGGCACCTAATGAAGGAAGCAGTGTCATCAAATAACAACTCAGGTGCGGGAGGCTAAAAAAGGCTAGTATTTTGTTAGTGTCAAGTTGACTTACCAAACTTGCAAGCTTCAAAGCTTGTGCGCTGAAGCTTCAGGAGCACTTTGTATCCATCTTTAGTGTAATAGAATTACTTTTCACAGAAAAATCATAAGCAACAACAGTTAAAATTACATCTACTCATTATTGGCATCCGATGAATGGAAGTGTTATCAAAAGAACATATAAGACTCCAGAGTCATTGAGGCTTAGATTTTTGAAGACCAAGTTCTCTCTGGTCATATCAGACTTGAAGGTTCCATTAGAGCAAGTCTTCAGCGAATGTCTTATGAAAAAATAATGGCCCAGTACATTGAGGCTTCTATCAGGCAATATCTGTATCATCTTACTGTTGCAAACAAGGGGTTAACTTCCATGGCTTAAATTTTGGTCACTTAATTTGCAAAAGAGTAGCCCAACTATTACAACAAGGCTCACCCTTAAAAGAAATGTCTTATGAGTTTTTTAAAAGTGCCTAATACCTAAAAGGTCTCTTTATTATGAGATTATCTTATGCAAGAGATCAAATTATATTTACCTTTGACAAGCTTTTGTAATTGTCCATGTATCCCTGATGTTATTATAACTTTTCCATTTATAGCATATAATATTATTTGTTTTAGATATGCAAGTAGTTGTTGATGACTTATTATCCTATGATTGTCATGCTGACCTGCCAATTTTACATCATATTATGTAGATTTTGTTCTGTCATTTAAGTTCCTTCTTGTACTTCAAGTTTTCATTTAGCAAAATGATTCCATTTTACAGCTATCAACCTCTTGCATCACAAAGAAACTGAAAACCTTCTGGAATTTTTGTACATAACTCATCTTCTTCTAAGAAGAACGATGATTCACTTAACTGAAAATTGCTTACCAACTCAACAAGTATGACGTACGACATACATTTCTGTACATGTGGTGTGCAACATATTCTTGACCTAATATCTAACGTCGGTTAATGAAATCCTATTTATCTTCTGATATCTGGTAGAGGATAATTTTTATTTTGCTCATTGTATGGCGGCTTCCTTAGCTCATTAAAAGTTCATTCAGCACTCACACTAATCATTCTGATTATATTATACTTATTTTTACTTGCTTCAAGAGCACTACTTTTCTAAATTATTTTAGCTTACATCTCCAAAGAGTATACAGCTTATCCTTTTTCTTCTGCACTGGAAAATTATTAGTGTGGAAAGGACAATTGATCGGTATAAGATGCACACAAAGGATGCCAATATCATGGATAAAGGAACAGACAGCGATATGCAGGTAATCCTTGACTTTCTGATGAACTTTCCTCTTGAAACATCTGGCTTTAATGTGATGAGATATAATTGATACAATTTGTAGTCATATAAGTAATCAATTCATTGTTTTAGCTTACCTGAATAATATAACAAATAGGTTGAAAATTAAATGGTCAAGAAATTGTCAAGTCATTGACATGAATTAAGATATGTCAGCTGCGGAACCAAGCATGAGGAGATGCATCAATAAGAATATGTATAATACTGTTTATTGTAGTTTAAAAAGTTCAAATAACATTAAAAATAAGTAAGAAGATTCTGTTTGAAGAGAAGCACTCTGTTCTATCTGTTTGTCTATTTTGGAAATCTTAAAAGAGTACTGACAATGCTGCAGCAGTGGATATCTGAAGCCACAGATATAGCAAAGAAGATCGAAGTCATTGAAGCTCAAAAAAGGTAAACTACCTGAACTTGAGTCTGAGTTGCATCTTATGTTAGTATCAGAAGTAGGAAAGGAGATTACTATCACCAAGAAAAGTTTCTTTAATCTCGGGTTTAAGCTTGCCTCAGGAAACTTCTGGGCGATGGTTTAGAATCATGTTCATTAAAAGAATTATGTGAATTAGAAGCTCAGATGGAACGAAGCTTACATAAAATTAGAGGAAGGAAGGTAGAGCACAACTATCATTTCACTTGCTTTCTTTGAGACATTAGTTGAAAATTGAAAATACTGACAAAGATGCTATTTCTTTATAGCAATACGTGTTAACGGAGCAAATTGCACAACTAAAAGATAAGGTAAGTCAGTTTCTTAATGAGAGAGCAGTGTTGAAGTTTTCAACAGATTCCAGTGATTCTAATACCTAATAATAACTAAGCCTCTCTTTTTTCTTCTTTTGCTAATTGAGTGCAGGTGAGGGTTCTCCTAGAGGAGAATGTAAAACTACATAGGGAGGTATGAAGCCACACAAAGCACTTCTCATGAGTTTTGTAGATAGTCAATTCATCTAAATTCATGTTTTTTTTCCCACTTAACAAAATTAAAGTTGACCTAAATTTAAATTCATCATTTAGGAGGTCGATGATAAAACCCAATTTTTCTGAAAAATACAGAGCTGTGCACATTATGCAATTTATGCAATCGACTTCTAACTTGATATGTGTACTGTTTTTTTGTTTCCAGAAGCGCCATATAGAACCTCAACTTCAGCTAGCTTCTACCAGAGATGTAGGTCCAAAGAATCATGGCAACCAAGAAATCACGGAGGTAGAAACAGAGCTAGTAATTGGCAGGCCAGGAATTAGGGAAGATAAATGAGATATCATGACACCATCACCAGCATCACGTCCATGGACTTGAAACAAGCGACGCGAAGCTGCAAACAATAAGTTGATGAGGAGATTTCTTATCTTGGCACGGCAGGGTTTCGAAAATGATTGCTTGAAAGAATAAACTGGAGGAACTCAATCTGCTGATACTATCTATAGTTGCAGTAATGGTTTTTGTAGTAAAGCTAGGAAATTAGTAATTTTGAGTCGTGTAATTGAATGCATGAAAATTCAAAAGTTTCTACCTGTTCAACATGCATGCTTGTACAAGAATCATAAACCTTTTCTGTTGCCACTGTTCTATTAATGTAACATATGTTTCTTCATTTATCAACAGAGGAATGATTTGAGCATCCCGATAGAGTGTTCCTGAGATGTGGAGAAAAACTGGTTGCTCAAACACTTTTGTCATAAAGTAGAAGAAAATGGCATGTGGCTCAGTATCTGTTTTCACAGGTTTCTTTCTTCCAATTTTCGTGTGAAGCAGTAGTTGATACCGTCTTGTTATTGAGTAGACTTTCTATTTCCTTTCCCTCATTCATAAACTCAAAGACAGAATATTTGATGCTATTGGATTCTTACACCATTGCATGTGAGAAGATTGCATAGGCTGTCTTTTATAGAGATTGGCTACGAAGTGATATCTAGTGGAAAGGCAAGTATGGTTAGCAATAGGGACTAATATGGTCAAGCCTAGTGAAGAAGAGGCCCAAAAAATTTTGGCCTTTAACTTATCATTGCAACCATTTTAAATGCCTATAGTTGGTTTAGAGATGTGTTATTGATTGCAGCTTACAATTAACATGATCAGCAATCACAAAATAATGAGTAGGATCCCCCAATGGTTCAAGCATTTTCCATGGAACAAACTTGTTTTTCCTTACCTCATTGGGTTTAAGCTGATAGATGTAAGGCAATTGGTCCTCAATGGTGATAGTACCTATATGTAAGTTAATTCCTCGCATAAGAGCTTACTTCTAAATCAGTTTCTCAGCTACAAACATGTGATATCAATAGACTCTAATGTCCACTAATTACTAAAGAAGAAAAAAGAAAAATCATTGTTTGTTGCCAAATATTATTATGAGTAGACTTGAAGAAATGTAAAATTTTTGGTCTATTTACAGAAGGAAAAATTCTCCAAAAAAAAGTTTTAATTTTTTATTTTTTTCTCATAGAATTTTTTTTATTATATCCATGTAGAGTATTTCTTATTTTTTAAAAGATGAGATTATCCTTATAGCCTCTTTTCGTTGCCCCAATCACTCCTCCTTTGACTATGACTCTTGTCTTCTCGATGTCTATAGTCTCACCTCTAGCTTCTCTATTGCTTCTATCCCCTTCTTTGGAGTCTCTCATCTCATCCCCTCATTGTCTCTAATACCCACCCCAATCTCTCTGATCTCATCTTTCCTACTCTGGTTGTTATTTAATCTATCAATAAAAAGTTCTCCTCCCCTTTCCTCTAATTGTTGGCTCTTACATCAATAGTTTGTCTCATCTCACTATCCTTCTTTTGGTGTCTCCTTTGATATCCTCGGTGATTAAAAATCCTTTGACTCCAATCCCTCTCCTTCTTACTAAGTGAGGGGCATCGTGACTAGACGAAGGTGGTGGAACAAAAACAATCACGTGCCTCTATTGAGGGAGTTGAGGGAGAGAGGTCTTAAGAGTTATAATTATAAATACCATCATAGTGGAGCTATAGACATGGTAGAGTAGAGTGAAGGTTGGTACAGTAGTAGCATTATCATAGGGTTGATTCTTAAAAAATGATGAAGACATATCAGTGAGGTGATCGACATGATAGAATAAAGTGGAGGTCAATATAGCTATAACATTATTAAGAGGGTAGTTTCCAAAAACTAATAAACGAACATGACAACCTGATGTGATAGAGGCCGAGTGTAAAATAATATAGATGGCCATATTTTTATAGGAATGTTTTATAGGAATAAAATAAAAATAAGACCTATCTAGGAAATAATAATAATTTTTTTTTTGTTGGAAAGTTTACCCTTTGCAGAATCTGGCGCCACAAAATTAGGCTGGGTATAGGTCAAACCACATGGGCAGAGGAAAAAGGAACAATGTCAAAGGTAAAGAGTCAACATATGCATGCATAAACATCTCAAACTAATAAAAAATATATATTGATGCCCTTCAAGTTTTAAAATATATAATATTTGATAGCATGCCTCTCTGCCATATTTCTAACGAGAAGAATAATTTTACCAATGAAAAGTACAATTTGTTTTCTCAAATTGCATAGATTCAGAATAAAATTTTAATTACAAGTCACAAAAATAATTAAGAATCCATTTTCATACATTACGGGAGGTTGCAAAACTATCTCATGCACCTATTGTTATGAAACTTTAATCACCCATTTATCATAAAAGAAGAGTAATCTTACCATGACACTATTTGGACCAGAAACAATTTCGTCATTTTCCAAGATAAGTTGACCAAATTTATTCTACACTAAGGTTAAGTCAATTCACCTCAAGAAAACTAAGTTGCTGAATTTTCATGTCAATGGAAAACAAAAAAAGAGTTCGAGCCAATCCTATATAAGAAGGGCACAGTGACCAATGCCGGTGCAGACTTTTCAGGAGCTTATTCGCAGATACCCATGTTTGAGAATTACCAACATAGCCTTGCAGAAGGGGGCAAAGGCAAACTCACTTTCTCTCTCTAAGACTCCCATCCTAAATAATTCACTCCACTATGTGTCCCTTCAACGTTAATTAGTGTGCCAAAATCCAACACATTAAAAGCTTATATCCAACGCAATACAAGACTCAAAATCCTTGAGCATGGCAGTCTGTCTGTATGTCCTCGAAACTGGATTCGAGTCTCTTCCTATCAGAAAAAGAAGTAAAGGTATCTCCCTATCAGTTTCATTACGGCATGTCCCATCCTGACATGCTCCTCCCATGTAGAATGGGGACATCCTAATGGATAGTGCAGGGGCCGACCTACCATCACTGCATCTCCTCCATACGTATTTCGAAGAAGAGAAGACGATAGCGATAACGATCTACACCAACACAACTTTTTGATTGAGTGTACTTCTTCTCTTATGTTCTCGAAATCTAACGGCAGTCGGCCTCTAAGACAACCAACCATACTCTTCAGCGTATGCTTTGCAACCAAAGGTTAATTGCACATCTAACTTCTATTCGGGATTGAGAGGATTATTTGTGATATATATATTGTTTTCCTTTTCTTTTCTTTTTGACATCCCAAAAGTAGGCGATTTCGTAGTTCTCTCAAGTAATCTGGTTGTTTTCTCTACATAACCTCTTGTCGGACTTCCATCCACAGTCTTTAGTTGCGGTCATTCCTTTTGATCTCTGCCGAGTGCAACCTAAGTGGTCTCCACCATATGAAGTGCACTCACTGATAGATATCAAAGGATGGACTTCTGTGGCTCCTCTTTTTATGCATGCTTACTTCTGTCCGAACAAACTTACCATCATCTATCGACCAGTTCATAATCGAAGTAGAATTTTAAATGATCAATTACTTGTTGTTTATCGTGCAAAACAAAAAACCTAAATCTTGTCGAATTCCAGTTGGTTCGTCTAAGATCTTCTTAGAAGATATTATGTATTTGTATTTTTGTATATATAATCATTCAGCAGGTATTCCCCAAAGGAAAAACTCCAAAACCATGTAAACAGAAGCCCTTAATGAAACATATTTAAATTGTGATTTCGGACGACCACACCTCAAGATATTGCAAGACGATGATTTAGATTTAGAGGTTAAGTTATACGCCTCTTAGGAGCTTGTCCATGTCACAATCTCGTACGTGGGAAGCTTTCTTGTCCGATGGAGAGTCTTATTAGAAGTCGGACACTGTTTCATCTGGAATCTCATTGTAGAGAGAGAATAGAAGATTGAATCGAATATTAGTTTTTGAGTTGTTCCTCCCTTTCTCCATCTATCTCTCCTCTTTTGTTCTCTTATGAACCAATCAGCCAGTGAAAACAAATGTAAACGAAGTAAAATATAAAGAAAATAGCAAAGAAAGGACTTACACTCCATTTAATATCTTTTGGCATAGGCTTTTCTTGCTTAACACAATTTGTAGATCGAACGTCTTTCTTTTTAACCGTGCTCGATCCGTCAGAGCTGCAGATGTTGGCGGGAATCACTGAGGACATCGGACGGCCATAAACGTAATCAGATAGGGGTAAAAGAGTCAATCGACTCCCCACGTACGGAGCCGACGGCAGGATGCCTGGATTGCGCGAAGACACATCACATGTGACGCTGCTAAGATTTGCTCCGGATCTATGGAGACGGAACCGGTCGATTTGGGCCGCCCGACAGGAAACAGGGGGCACGAGACACGTCACGCCGCTGGGACCCGGCGCTGCAACGAGCCCGCGCGCTGCCACGTAGTCGGAGGGCCGCTGTCGTTGTCGAAGCGGCGAGGCGGGGCGAGCGGTGGAGGGAGGAGGGACCATTCGGAAGCAAGTACGAGGGTCGACACGTAGCCTCGCCGGACTGGGTCGTATTGATACGAACTGCGCCCGGAAGAAGAGAGAGCGAACTCGGGAAACGTGCGGCTTAGGAGAAGTCACGCAGAGAAGACGATGATATTAGTTGGTGTGTTTGGGCGCTCGGCTCGGCCGTTAAAAGTGAATAGTAGGACGAAAACACTTAGAGGGGATTGAATTATTAGGCTGCGTAGCACTCATGCACCATTCAATGATGACAGCGAAGACAGACAAGGAAAGAAAGAAGAGTCAGAGGAAGGACATCCACATCAACCGGTAGCATTCGGTTGCCACTTTTCCCCCTCTTCTTTATTTGATGGGAAAGTGGGAAAATATAGGAAGCAAAGGGAGGGAGATAAGAGAAGTGCAGTGGTGGTGGTTGTGGTGAGGAGGAGATGGGCAGGGGAAGGGTGGAGCTGAAGCGGATCGAGAACAAGATCAACCGCCAGGTGACATTCTCCAAGCGCCGTAACGGGCTGCTCAAGAAGGCCTACGAGCTCTCCGTCCTCTGCGACGCCGAGATCGCGCTCATCATCTTCTCCAGCCGCGGCAAGCTCTTCGAGTTCGCCAGCTCAGAGTAATTTCTCGATGCTTGCTTCCCTTTCTTTGCGCCTTGCTTGCCTCTCTCTCTCTCTCTCTCTCTCTCTCTCTCTCTCTCTCTCTCTCCCTCTCTCTCTCGTCATGGAATGATGCAGGGAATCGCTATATTTAATGATCATTTATTGGTGCATATGGGGTTTCTTGGTTTGGATGCGTGTTCTTTGAAGGAAAGATTTTGTAGGTAAAGTAGATTGCTATTCCCATGTAAGAGGGTAAGTACACTTCTGTGCCATTAGTTT